GTGGGAGAACTTGCACAATTGGTGGCTGACTAAATACTTTTTTGCCCCACTGTAAAGTGGCCACGTCTGAAGGAAAGCATGAGGATGTCAGCAAACGGTCTGTTGCGCTTGAAGCTGGTTCTAGGGAGGCGCAGAGCAGCAGCCTTCCAGCCTCACTAGCTTGGGATCCTAGCTTTCCAGGTAATATCAAAGTGTCAAGCGCTTGACAGCCAATCACCCACAAACAAGTTTCTTGCAGAGCCTTCTTTATCAAACTTGTTGAAGGAGAAAAGAGATTCTTCTGCAGAAATCTCAACAACTGCATTTGAACTTTCAGAAGCCATTTTATCTTCCAGGCTCCTACATCCTCAGCCTCTAAAGCCCAGCTTCTGTGTGAGTTGGCAAGGAGGCTGTTCTTTTACCTCATAAGTGAATGTCCAGGTGTCCAGAACTGGACTGTCAGGTCTGAACATACCATCCCATGAAACATCTCCAATGGGCATCTCTGGCTGAAGATACAAGGATCAGACACGGGACACTACAGGAGGGAATGCACCTGTGCTACACATTAACCTCTACAGAAGATACATTTCCATTGTGTTTTATGTAGACAAGTCAAGATGCCTGTCTGTGGGTACAGGCTGAATGACATTTCATAGCAAGTTGCTCTGAAATGGGCCTCAAGAAACATCACCAAGAAGAGGTCCAAATGCCACCTGTGGCCTGAAAAATGATTGTATAGCAGTGTCTCATTGGCCAACTCTGCTTGAGTTTTCCTCATCTTCCCCTTGGAAAGGAGAGCCTTCTTTCATTTTAGTGCTTTCTAGGGCATGTTTAGAGTCAAACTCCAACAGGTTTAATTTTACCAATTATTTTTCTTAAATGAAAGAATCTCAGAACTAAACAAGGACTTGGGGGCTCAAATGCTGCAGCTGTCCTGCAGCTATTACAGTGAAAATAGACCTGAAGCTTTGACTCGCAGCCAAGGAGGACAATAGAAACAAGGGAAGGCTCTGAGCAGTGACTCCACTTCCCTTGGCAGGATCTTTATTGGAGCTCCTGTGTGAAGTACTTTCCATTGTCCAGGGCACAACTGCTGCTAAGTGGGTACGCGACCACAGGGCAAATCCAGCTGGCGTACTTGGAATGTGGATCAGTGGCAGGACATACTTCACTGAGGAAAAGGAGGAGGTGCTAGAAAGGCCATCTTCTTTGGGGACCAAGAGCCCAGCAGTTGCAGGCTCTAGAAATTGCTGCCATGAAAATTTGTTTTTAGTTGACTTTTCTGTCCACAAAAATGTGCAGGTTCCAATTTTCAGTGCTTCACTTCTACATAAGTATTTGATGTAGATGTAACACTTCTGATGTAAAGAATTCTCTTTTTACCCCCAGTGGTGCTGACTGACTTTCCCCCAGGCTCCTGGGTGCTTTGCCTGTCAGATTTACAAAGCCAAAGAGAATCTCCTGGCTTCATTTCCCTATTAGAGAAGGGGAAGCAGATAATTCCCAAGCAGCTAAAATTGATTGTGCTCCAACCTGCTCTGAAGGTACTTCTTCCTCGGTGTCTGCATCTGGAAGCTGTGGATGCCTGAACGACCTGTCCGAAATAAACTGGGGAGAACATAGGACAGAATGGGACATGTGCTGAGTGTTGCTTAAGTGAGACGGCCATTTATTCACAGGATATGATGCCTTTGTGCAACTACCCACATCAACTGGTTCAACATGAATAAAGCATACAGTAGATAAGTAGATGTCCAGGAGGTTGTAAATTCTCCTTGTGAAAACCCCAGATGTGAATGCCAGGGTGGGAAAGAGAGTATCCTCCAGGTGTGTTCACTGAATCACACAGAGACCACGGGGGTCATCTAGTCCAGTGCCCTGCTCAGTGGGAGCCACTAAAGCATTTCTGACAGATGCCCCCTCAATACATCCTGAGGTGGCATTTTCCTTTTTAGCAGCCGCACTGCACTCCTGGCTTGTGTGGTCAGGGAGGCCCAGACCCCTTTCTCTTGGACTATGGCCAAGCCAGTTCTCTCCCATCCTATGTGTGCCTTACATTTTTCCAATGCAAATGTGGAACTTCACTTTTCTCCCGGTTAAATTCCATCCTACCCATTCATTTCAGCCCACTGCTCAGGCCAGTCAAGATCCTTCTGAATCCTCTCTTTCATCTAAACTAATAGCCATTCCTTGTGGTTTTGCATTATCTGCAAACTTTGTAAGTGTCCCCTTAATTCCCTCATCCAAGTAATTTTTAGAAGGGCTGAACAGTATAGAAGCCTTCCAGCACTGTCTGCCATTCATACCACCCAGTTTCAGCAACACCTACTCTGTCTTACTTCACTTCTTGAGTTAGGCTCTCTAACACTCCCTGCTGATTTCCTTACATGTTCTGTGCATCAGTGTAGAAACATTTCAGGTTTGAGGGGCACCACCTACTGGCCTATCTGTGGTCGTGTTGGGTGAACTGCGGAGTGCCCACCCTGGCCACTTGATTCTCCCTTTGGGCTCTGCTTCCTTGGGCCCAGTCCTTGGTTCCACGTTTGGTTCAGGGCTATTTTAATGCCCTCCTGATGAGCCTGATCAGACCAACTCCCACTGACTGTGCTGTTTATTTGTTTACTGGGCTGTTACTCTGCTACCAACCAAGCACATGCCTATGAAGTTTTCCAACACTCAGGTTAGTTCGTGGAGGGCAAGGCTGCAATATCTCTATCTCCTTGCCTTATTTTCGAAAAGCCTCCATAATTGTCAGTGATTTGCTTGGCATGCTCCAAGTTGCTAATAAAGTGGGCCAATTTCCTCTTAGAAAATACTCTTTGGGGGATTGATTTCCTTCTGTTTCTGGGCTCATTTTCTCTTCCTCTGCAGGAAGAACCAGGGCTGGTGGAGAGGTTGGGTCAGCTGAACCCGCAGAGGTGGCGGTCCTGAGCTTCCCTCCTCCCAAACACAGTCCAATTCCCAGTCGGGAAGGGAAAGGAAGGGAAGGGAAGGGAAGGGAAGGGAAGGGAAGGGAAGGGAAGGGAAGGGAAGGGAAGGGCCTTCTCTATATGATGGAGGAAGAGAACAAAATGTGTTCACGTGATTTTATTTGCATGCGTAGGGAGCGAGAGGAAATTCTACTTCAAGAGATGTGGATGCTGAAAAGGTGGGCCAACTGGTTCTCTCAGGCAACAGCTGGAGACGACAGAAACCCAGAAGACTCCAGTGTCCAGGAGTCCAACAGGGGTGAGGGGGTCTCCCTCTCAGGGAGGCTTTTAGGAAGGGGAGGGCCCTCATCTTTCAGGGTTTGGGTTTTCTCCTCCAAGGCTGGCTGAAAGTGGGGGGAGGGCAAACCCCTGGGCTGGACACAAGGGAAGGTGGGCGGGAAGCTCAGGTCAATGAAGCCTGAGGCATGGGGTGGACTCAGTTTTATTCGATGGACCGAATCTTGCTTGTGTGACCTTGTGTGTGCGAGAGGGAGAGATACAAGCAGCCAGTGGCTGAGCCAGTTCCTTCTGTCACCCCT